TGTAAGAGAAGAGATTATGTTCGAAAATCTCTCTCTCTGAACCCTAGTTGCCGCCATCTTCTTCTTCATCTTCTCCCTTCTAGAATTCTGATTTCTGCTATTTTCTTTTGAATTTTTGCATCTTTCTAAACAGTCCTTTCCTCTCAAAGGCTGTTTTTCTTCTACATTATTGAGAGCTAATTGAGTTGAATAATCTTTTAGTTAGTTTAAACTTTTAAACACATCTTTAGGGAGGCTAATTGAGTTGAATAATCCTTTTTTTCCTGTGAACTGCAGTCCTGGATAGTATCCCACCATAAATCACCTACTATCAAAAGGAATAGTGCTGGAAAGTCTCTGTTGTCTCCATGCGAAGAAGAAGAATCTGTATTGCACTTGTTAATTTATTCCAGTTTTACTTAAAGATATTTGGAGAATGTTGTGTGCCTCCAAGGGATCTAAAATACTCTTGTCTTCTCATGGTCTTCAGCTGGTTTTATTTTATGGAATATTCTCATGGCTATATGCTGGGTAAGCCTGGGGTTTTTTTGTGTGTTATCCTTTTGGCACATATGGTACTTGCCCTCATTTTTCTTCATTATTAGTACACATATCTTTTGTCATTTTCATTATTAATACACATATTTTTGTCATTTTCAATAAAATTGTTCTTATTGATAACAAACTCATGATAGCTCGTATCCTCTAACAATAGTGTCAACTAACATCCTTCTGAATTCCTCCCTAATCAATGCTCAATGTACCACCTAAATTGTCACATTGAATTATGACTATTGAAAGTTCTTATAAAAGAAGATCCTTGAGTCAACTTTCTCCCAGACTCCAGAGAACGACTGCTCCGATGCATCCATAAACCATCATATTAGCCAGAGATCAAATAGTCGCATAGTGCACCATGGAAACTAGACTAGTTGTATATTTGTCGCACCAACATGCCCAACGATGAAATTGCCACCATAATGATATTTGTTAAGCATTGATTATGCACCGTGGACCATGTTCATGATGGACACTTCAACTTCTAGTTTAGATTTTGTTTCACACTTTATCAATGATATTTCCTTGCTGTATCTGGGTACATTGGTTTGTGAAGTAGGTATTGTTAGTCACTTTTTAGTTTTTGCTTTGCAGATTTTACTTTTTATTTTGTTTAATGCTCATTTTCTTATTTTTTTTATGAAAATATTGAGTTTCAGAGGTACTCTTTTTAGTTTTCTGACCATGATGCATATCAATCTACATTGGCCTTAAAGGAGTAAAAGTTAACACTTGGAGCATCAAATTGAGAATCAGCTACAGCTCAAAAATTAGTGATAGTCCAGTAATCTAGCACAATTTTGAGGGACACATCATTTGAGATAAGAATTGGAGTTTCTGGTTGTTGCTTCAAATTTCGGGCCAAAGTCTACACTTTTTGAGTTAGGTTCTGGAAATGGTATTTAGAAAGCTGTTAATGTGAAATTTTGGTGTCACGGTTCTCATAGTTGGCTTTAGTCAGATTGGTAGAAAGCATTCTTAAGGTAGTGGAATATGAACATTGAGGTTTTCTTATATATAAGTTTTCAAGAGGTTTCTTTGGGGATCCAATATTATCCTATAAATTGTAAGACAGGATATGGGTTATTAATTTGTGAACCATTGGCATGAGAATAACTTTTTTGTAAGCTTTTTTTAGGAGGGTTTCTCATCCCCTTATATTAATATAGTAATACAAATCCATACCATTTATCAAAAAAAGGAAGAAAAAGCAAGTATTTGAACTTAGTTTAAGTGCTTTTGCTTTCTAGTCTTCTCTAACCTAAAACCCAGGTGTTTTGTTAATCTTCATGGTTATGCAATTATTCAATTCCTTGTATAGCAGATATGATTATGCATTTATCCAACTTATTTTCTAGGTTGAGTAGAACCTGACTTTCCTCATTCTACTCTTGATATTTAATTGAATTATTGATGAGAAAGTAAATTTTCTTGATCTTTTATGTTTTTCTTTAGGGTAAGCAACAGACATGATCTTGTGGTTGAGACAATAGATCGTAGTTTCAAGGTTAATTTTTTCAGTTGATGAAACTAACAAAATGTTTCACTTTTTGTGTTGACTTTTTGAAATATTAGTTGCTTGCGGGCATTGCAAGAAGGAGATTATGAAGAATTTCATCTGAAGCTAACTGAATCAAAGCAGGTGATCATTGTGGATTTGTTCAATTTAGTTTCAGCTCAATATCTTCTTTAACCAACATGATAGATTTATTTTGTTACCTTTTTCATAGGATCTCATTTTATCGATCTACCATGCAAGCAAAGAGAGTACTGAATTCATTCACTCATCAATAGTTAGACTACAGGTAAGTGATATGTTTAGCATTAAGTAGGCAAGGCTCAAGTGTTTGTTCCCAGATAATATACAGTGTTTGTTACACATGCAACAGAGCATTAATTCTGACCTTCCAGTTATTGGCCTGTCTTTGAATTATCCAAGGAAGAAAAATCATAATGCATCACAAAACCTAATATATGATGCATGCCATTCTAATAAATGAAGGCACAATTTTGATATTTAGGGACTTGTGAGTGGAATGAAGTTTTTATTTTCAGAAAGTTACTTGTGATGTTACTTGTGATCAATTTATGAAATGACCCAACACATGCTAAGAAATGATGTATATGATGAAGACTCATGGTTTCAAATGTCGCCAAATGTCGCTAATGTTGCCCGACATATGTCGATGTCGAGGCTCACCGACATGAAAGTGGATGGTAATATAAAAATTACATTATGTCGGTTGACATTTCCTATACTTCGGAAATGTCGACCAAATCGGTCCAAATAACAAAAAAAATACAGTTTTTCCTATTATGTCGACAAGATGTTGACTAATGTACATTAAAAATATAATATATTAGTATATTATATTAATATAATACAGTATATTAATATAGATTRTTCCATTAATAATTTCTATTTAATATTTCAAATAAAATATTTATAAAAAGAATTAACAAAATATAAAAACAAAAGAATAAATTAATTACTTTATAATATAAACATAAAAT